CTAGGTGTATTTGAGATGAGGAGCGCCTCGCCTGGAATGTGGATGAGAACTTCCTGCTTTGCTGATGGCTGGGGTTTAAAGTCTGGCATCACGTCTATGTTATGCAGCTTATTGACGGAAAATACATAATAAAAAATATAAAATAAACGTCCCTTTGTAGTCCTGTAGACTGTATTGATGAAGAGTCTCACAGTTAATTCTATTAAATGTATCTTGTTTAATTTACCTAATTTATTAATTGTTATAACCCTGCCCACAATCAGGAATTATCCTATCAATATAGCTACATGTTAGAACACAAAAGCATTAAATAATCAGCCAAGCATAGCTTAATATTTAATACATTGTTTTGCATGTTATTTATATAACATCCAGAACCAAATACTAGCAATAAACATGCCAACAATGTATTGTTCCAAGTTTGTACTCATGCATATTTTGAACTAATGAAAGTAAACTGAAAGAGTGGGAAGGACATGTGGGGGTGTTTTTATTTGCAAAACTTAGATCCAGTCATCTATTTGTTCACCGGTGACAGTAGGACATTTTCCCATCATGCAGTGCAGCCTTTGCAGTTGCTTTTGGTCAACTGCTACCTCAGACGGCTGATCTCTCTCTGACCTCTTGCGGTTTAAGTTGCTGACATGTTTCAGACCTCAGTTGCAGACGGGAGAAAGTCGGACAGAGATTTGCCCAGAGTGCACCGCACACAAGCCGATACTGGTCGGATCTCTGCAGGTCTTGTAATGAGCCAGTCAGAAGACCCAAAGTTTCAGCCAGAACACAGAATAATGATTTAAACAGTTTATTAAAAACTCAGGACATCAGGAGCACATCCACCGTGGGTCAGGGATTTCTAAGGAGGGAGATTTAGGTTAGTGGCTTGAAGGAGTTCAAATAATGAAAAGCATGAAACCAACAAAACCACTAACCTTAAAAGAGTCCTCCCTTCAGCAGCATGAATAGAGCAGATTTCTCCTTAAAACTGTTGTTGGGTGGCCAACAGTTGGGTGGCTTGGAGCACAGAGGCAGGAATTAGGTCCAGGAAGCCAGACTCAGGCTTTAGTGAACAGGGAGCTTGGCAGGAGGCAGAAGTCAAGAGGCAGAAACAGGGTCGTTGTCCAGAGGGCAGAGAAATCCAAAAGGGGCTAGGCAAAAAGGGAAAATCCGTGAAGCAAAGACTTGGTCAGGTAACTTTAAGTGCTGGATACTGCTTGCTAGTTGGTTTGCAATTATCTGGCCCTGTCTGCCTGCCACAGGCTGTCTTATAACTGCTTGAACACAGGTGAGAGACATTCTGCTGATTGCACTGCAGTGCAGCAGGCAGCAGCTGGAGATGATTGCTCACAGGGAGAGCAGAGCAGGCAGACAGGCCAGAATCATAACAGTACCCCCTCCTCAAGGTCCGGCTCCGGACGGACCACCAGGCTGATCAGGGTGGAGGTGGTGGAAGTCCCTGATGAGAGTCCGGTCAAGGATAAAACGGCCTGGAATCCAAGTCCGTTCCTCTGGTCCATATCCTTCCCAGTCCACCAGATATTGGACCCCCCGTCCCCGCCTCCTGGATCGGAGGATGCGGTGGACCGTGTAGATAGGGTCACCATCCAAAAACCGGGGCGGAGGAAGGGGGTCAGAGGTGGGCCCAAAGCGAGGTGGGACATAGGGCTTTAGACACATGGAATGTAGGTGTAATCCGCATAGACCGGGGTAACTGGAGACGGACAGCCACTGGGTTCACAACCTTGGCAATTGGGAAAGGGCCGATAAAGCGGGGTGCCAACTTACGGCATTCTACCCGCAGGGGAAGGTCCTTAGAGGACAACCAGACCTTCTGGCCCACCTGGTAATCGGGAGCGGGTAGACGATGGCGGTTGGCAGACCTGGACTGAACCCCAGACATCCTGATCATGGACCTCCTGGCCCTCCTCCAGATACGTTGACACCTGACGGGAGCGGCGTAGGCAGAGGGGACTTTGGCCTCCCTTTCTTGAATCGAGAACGTCGGTGGCTGAAAACCATAAACAACATAGAAGGGGGAAAGACCAGTGGTACAGGACGGGAGAGCGTTGATAGCCTGCTCCACCAATGGCAAGTTTTGAGACCATTTGGTTGGGTCAGACTCACAGAGAATGCGAAGCTAGGTTTCGATCTCTTGGTTGGCCCTCTCCGTCTGTCCATCAGTCTGTGGGTGGAAACCAGAAGATAAACTGACAGAGATGTTCATGGCTTTGTCAAGCTGCTGCCTTCCTTTGTGAAGCAGGAAAAAGACTGATACAAAGTGAATCCAGTAGAACTTTTTACTACTTTCAGAGGTGTCAAGTACACTTAAGTACACTTTTTAAGATCAGTACTTTACTCCATTACTTATTTTTCCTCCTACTTTTGACTTCTACTCATTACATTTTAACACAAGTATTTTTACTTTCTATTCCTTACATTTTTAAAACAAATGTTACTCGTTACTCTTGGCTTCGGTTTAAAGCACAGGTCAGGGATTAGCGGACTGCGATGGTATGAACAACATTAAATCCAAAGATTTTGTCCGAGGTAAAGCTGATTTATTTGTTGTAGTCTCATGTTATTCACACACAACAATAAACAGCGATTAGCCGACGTGGGTTTTAAAACTGCAAAGCTTTGTCTTCAGCTGAAAATCAAACGGGCATCTACACAGACCAGTGTGATGCATTCGCGAGCGTCAGACAGCTATGGTGCATTCAAGAGGATGGGACATTTCATACTTACAAGGAAAGAGACATAAACGGAACAGAACTTAACTCATACAATAATGTATTTATTCAGAAACAGTGTGGGCTTTCTTATAATACTGAATGCTCTATAACTGTATTTCTGTTATTTTTTGATTATGCACATCTGGTGGCTTTTTATTCTAAAAAATATATAATATTACAGCGACAAATTATCAAAGTTTTTGAAAAGCCTGTTTAAAAGCTCCAAATGAGGCTTCAGATCGTACAGCGACAATTGCGCTGTCATTGTTTTACAGGGCAGAATTTGCATTTGCTGACTCTTGTCCTTTAACTACTGATGGATATACAGGAATATAGTCATACAAGTGTAAACTCCTCTCAGATAGAACAGGATGCACTATTTGGCAATTTCTATTTTTATTTTTTTAATCTTTTTTTTTTTATTCAATGCATAACATGAATGCATAAATACGTCATTTTATTTCAGTGTTAAATTCTGTTTAAAGTAACAGATCATTAAAAATGTCTCCGGACATTTACTGGATGATTTTCTTTATTCAGACCCCACTGATTTTTTATTAGTTACCCCTGGTTTAATGTTTATAAATGTATATTTCATGCCATGGATGAGTCATGTAATGCAAACACTCATTGGTTAGCTAAAGGAAATCATCAGAAGCAAGCAGGTGTTCTTCAAACTGCAAACGTGAATTGTCTATGCCATGCTACAATGTCGGATTCAGAAAAACATGTCTAAATGTCTGAAAGGTCGGACACAGGCAAGAGCGTATCTAGATATGGAGTCGGAGACCAACAAGACCTCCCTCATCCTTGGCCCTATCTCAAAGAATTTTTGAAATAGTCGAAAAATTGAGCTTTCAATTCATATAGTGGCATCTGGCGTTTTTCTTAAAGGTTACTTTATACTTTTATACTTTAAGTAGTTTTTGGAGCACATACTTTTTCACTTTTACTTGAGTAAAGAGGTCAACTTGATACTTCAACTTTTACCAGAGTGTTTTTATACTGCAGTATCTATACGTCTACTTAAGTAACAAATGTGTGTACTTTTGACACCACTGCCTACTTTGAATGGGTGACAATAGTTGAATAAACTTTTGGCTCTCAGAATGGTATCGGTGCCCTATTTGTTGGTACTCGCCCATACAGATACCACCATATTAGTGCTGGATCGGGGACCCGCCCAATACTGGTATCGCTGCAACACTAGGGCTGACACATTTTTTTCTTTGTTTTTTTTGGACAAAAGACCTATGAACCTATAGGCCTATTTAAAATACAATAAAAATAATAAAATTAAATAGACTGAGATTCACTACTCTATTGTCATATACACTTCAGTGCACGCAAACAGGGTCTGTAACACACACATCATCAGTCTTCAGATAAATATATGCTCTATTAATTAAACTTCACAAAAACACTAAAACAAAATTGATTCGGTCAGCTGGCATGAACCTGTGTTCATGTTTATGTCACACGTGATTCTATTAGCTAAAAAATCCTTTTACACAAACCACAAGGAAATAATTATATTATTATACTATTCAAGAGTTATTGAACAGTTCTCTGTTTCACAAAGAACCTAAGATCAAAGTAGCACTCTAAAATACTATGATTACATTAAACTGCACAAATGGATATGAAAGTGAGCGGCAGCACCGTGCTCTTACGTTGAGCTATAGGCACGGTGCCCATGTTGAGCTGCGCTCTGAGGTCGTGTAGATAAAGTCTCTCATAAGAGCCCGAAATGCATTTCTGTGCCATATTTCCTCCTCATTCCTGTCATTAAATTTACTAGTCTGCTGCCATGAGTGGGATACAAATAATAATAAAATAAAAATAAAAGAAAGTCAAAATCATTTCCCAAAATATATTTATAAGAAATGTATAGATTGTGCAAAGTATTTTAAAATTTTTATTTTACCCCTCCTCTCGCCACTAGGGGGTGCTGCAGCACCCCCAATTCCCACAGCCATGATTGCAGGATTTAATAATTGATTTTAAATACAATTTACAATTCCTTTTTAATAATTCAATTTAAAATACTCATTTAGAAAACACTTTTCAGATTAGATTTCTAATAATAGCATGATTTAAATGTAAAATTTGGCTGTTTTTGTTTTTTTAGTGAGTCTCTTGGTCCTCCATACACGTGAAGTCAGCAGGGGGCCCCAAGGAGCCGCAAACACAGCCTATGCCTCGGGCTGGCTCTGATAGCAGGGTACAGTGCATTTCTTGGTGTGTCAGCACGTGGATCCTCCCGCCCTCCTCTGCATCTCTCCATCCTCTCCTCCAGAGCTCGGAGGCGCACAAAGACGCGCAGCAGCACAGCCTCGGTGTTTGTTTCCGCGCTTCCACAAGACAAATCGGGCTTATTGTAAATATCAATAAATGAATAAATCAAATAAAAAAATATAAAAGTGATTAAAGAGAACAGTCCTGTCTCCCCTCATGCCACCGATGAGGCTCCAAAGGAAGGGACATCTGTGATCGGACGGAGCGGCTTCTCCATGAACATGGCGCGCATCGGGGACGCAGACCCCTTCACCGCTGCGATACCCGCCACCAAAGTTGAGCTGACGGTGTCCTGCAGGTGAGTACAGCGCTGCTGCGCTCAGAGGAGATGTTTGGAAAGCTCAGCTGAGGGGATGGATGGAGGCTGAAGGCTGCAGAGGAACTCCCTGCGCGCTCCTCATCCTCATCTCTGTATTTAAGCTGCGGATGCATGGAAAGCGCCTCTGCTGTGAGAGCATCCTGGCAGTTTGCAAACACACCAACCACCAGCAGCTCTAAAGGAGCGCAAATTTTCTAGTTTGATGGAGCTGTGCTGCTGAAGCAGGGGTCAAGATTCAGGAGATATGATGGAAACCTTCATCAGCCTGAAATGTGTGGTTTAAGGAGGTGTTTGAGGCTCAACCAGGCTGTCAGAAACACAAAGCTGCTGCCAAAGGCTTCATGTGACTGAGAGTTTTCTTTAGAAATTGCCAGAGTGCCTGCTGGCTTTCCATTAATCAGCTGCTTGTGGAAAAAAATCATTAATTTACGACTTAGAGGAAAACTAGAAAAAATCTGAATAGAGGTTTCCTCACACACACAAAAACACATCATCTAATTAGATTAGATGCTCTTTTAAACTTCTATTTTTGATGTAAAGATGTAGTACAGTGCTAGGAATGAGAATCCTGATGCCTGTTCCATCCATGGACTACATGCAGTGAGCAAATTAAAACACAATCTCCCCACAAGGCTTTGCAATTTATTAAATCTGTTGTATATATTTTAATCTTGGTGTATTGGAAGATTTCATGGCTTCAAATGATTAAAAGCTGCAGTATACGGAGACTAAAGCATCATCCAGATCAAAGGGCTGCTTGAATGGAGTATTTGATTGGTTGCCATATATGAAGTACATATTGGATGGTCACAAAATGCCTGAGATAAATAAATATCACACAAGATTTTAAGTTATAAATGACAGAAACCGGGTCAGAATCTGCAAAGATCGGCAAAGACGGATGACAGTCAGGAAAATGTTGTTGAATCTTAGCATGTTGATTCTGAGCTGAACTTTCCTTATCGGGGTATTAAGTAGGGACTCACCTATTTATTTATAAATTAATCAATAACTCACCTATCGATTAATCTAAACTATCAGTAAATAAACTTTTTTAAATGAAAGCATTCTGTCACACATTTCAAATGAATTGCAAATGGTAAAACAATTTCATATTTAATTGAAGTATTGCATATATATTTTATCTTTATTTTTTATATATTATTTAGATTTTTAGTTTGTAATTAATTTCTGCTGTAAGCAGGTTATCATTATAGCCAGTTCCATGTTTGAGGATCTGTTTACCATTACTCTATGTCCCGATTCAAATACTAAATCATTGATAATTACATCAATATCTGATTAATCTGATAAATCACTTGTTTTTCTGATAGATTTTAATAATATTTATGCAAAATGAAGCAGAATGCGGTGTGCTATTGTCCCAACAAATCAGCCAGCTACCCCTAAATACAACAATAACATTATTTCATACCATAATTATTACAGTAGTACAGAGTAAAGGAAGTAGATTAAACATATATATATTTTTTATTCCATTTGATTTATTTTAAATGTAGGTTTTCATATTAAAATGGGCATTAGATTATTTCTGTATTTATAAATGATAAATTTGTATATTTAATATTTGAATCATGCATGTTAGACAAATAATTAAATGTTACATCTGCTTATTTCATGGTAACATTTTTGTTTCATAGCGTATTTTCCCCCTCCATATACGGCAGGAATCCCCACATGATGTGTTGTCCCAAAAGTCTTACTCATGTATAATAGCAATACCTTTAGATTCTTTTACTCACATAAAAGTAGAATAGTTAGAGTAAAGAAGGACTTTGCTTAATGTTGCTCAAGTTACTGAGTAACTGTTGCTTCTTTAACATCTGATTTAATATTTACATTTATGCCAGCAGACAGGGAATTACAATTCTGGTATTTTAAAGTTATGCAACAAAGTAAAAAATATAAATAGATAATATTGCAGAATAACGAATATGAACAAAATAAGTTATTTTTTCAAAATGAATTTATAAAACGATCCTTTGTGTATAAGTCAGCAAAGGATAAAGAACTTTGAGCTACATCTTCCTCGTGCTGGGGGGCGTAACCAGACAGTTCACTCAGTGAAGAGTAGCGATACTCTTACAAGAATAGTCGTTAAGTAGAAGGAAAAAGTACAGGAAAGCACAACTACTTCAAAAAGGATGTTTGTTTTTTTAATACAGTTTACTGAAGCAAATGTGACCAGTTATTGCCCACCTCTCCTAAATAAAACCTCGAGTCTTTGGAGCCGCCTGTAGGGATGTTTACAGTCTGTCAACAGTTAAGATATTAGATTCAATACTTTTAACCAAATCAAATGGATGATAAGGATCTGTCAGTAGCTGCACTAAAATATAAGCATATTATAGCTATGTTTTATAGTTTTTCTATTTATGTTTTCATTAAACTAATTCATAATTAGTATTATAAAATAAAAGGACTATGGTTCACTGTTCTCCAAGTACACCAGATAAAATTATTGTTTTTCATTAAACTCAATGAATCATTGTTTTATGATTTGGATTTCGACCAGAACAAACTATAAGCATTTTCCTTTCTTTTTTCCTTGAAATCAAATATTCCTAGAAACAGCTCCCTGAAAACAGCAGTTTGTAGATTTTGCATGTGATCTTTACAGAGCTGGCCAGTATATATATTTAATATAATAATAATAAAAAGATGAAAACAGTATCGCTACGGCTAGAGGTTAATGGATAATTTCCTGGCTGTTGTGTTTTAGTTTTCTTCCACTCACACTCTGCATAGTGGTGATGTGTATATAAGCATTGACTGATGCCAGAACTCACTAATAAGAGTGGAAGAGGAATCTACATCATGGGAAAGATGGGCCATGTATATATATATATATATATATATATATATATATATATATATATATATATATATATATATATATATATATATATATATATATATATATATATATATATATATAGGAAACTGCATGTTTTCCTATGCAGTAGACTGCAGCCCTATAGGATTAAAAGCATATGTTGTGTTTCTGTGAATATTTTATCCAAAACGGCATGTCGGCAAATATAAAATCAATACCAAGTTATGATTTTCTGAGATTGCCCACAGTTGTAAATAAACCTCAAAACCATAATATGCTCATATGGGGCTAGAAACAGAACATGTATTGTTGTTGTTGCATTTTATTGACTTATTTGGCTGAACTCAGGGACTGAAAGAGATATTCCTTCCACTCTTGGTTTGATCACTGTATCTCAGATCCAGGTTTTATGCTTTCATTCTCTATTTTTTTTTTCAATAATACAAAATAAGACCCTGAAGAATTTAGTGTACAGTAAATCCTATTTCTAGAGACTTCAAATCAGAAAATAACTGTTGGAGACACCATCTCTAAAAACAACAACAAATAAAAATGGTCCAACAGAAGAAGCGAGCCTGCAACATCCGTAATGATTCAAGATCAGAGGCTGTGTGGACATAACTTCTGAAAAACAGAGATGGCACCATCTGGGTGATTTTTTATTTTTGATAGCATAGTAGGAAAATGCTCATCTGAGCTGTGACTCATCTCAGTTTTCTAACAAATGCTGTTTTTTATTCATGCACGCGTAATGGATAAGCCAGGGTTTCCACGTCCTCCTGATGGTTAATAGGATGGATAGAAGGGAAAATGGTCAAAGAGCAGCCAAGCTTTTTCTAATGGAGGCGAAGGCATTTTGAGTCACTAAGTGATGTATTGTTTGTGTCAGTTGTTTATGAGGAAACGTATAGCCGCTCAGTCTCACAGCCTGTAGAGGAATGCTTCTGACACAACGCTGCGGTTGGAGATGGTAAATAAAGATCTAGTTCAGCATGGCTGTGAATCTTGTGTCCTCCTGGACTGGTTTGCTTCTAAAGACCCAATTATTTGATTCAGGTGTGATTAAGCAGAGCCCAGGAATAGGTAGAATATAACTACGCCAACATGGTTGGATTCAACTACTATGGAACTAATCAGGAGCTGATGAGCATTTCAGCAGTACTTACGGGGAAACACCCAGCCTTATTAAAGGAACTGCTGAGCTCCCTTGGAAACACAGAGTAACTAATCAGGAGCCAATAGGAGGTTTTACTTTACTTTATAAACAACCAGGAAATATTCAAAGGCTGTTTTCTGATAGAGTGGGGGGCTAAGACTTTGGGGAAAACCTTAACTTCAGAACCTTGTGGTGTTCGAGCCACCATGAAGAGAATGAATATTTCAGTCAGTGGTCTGAAGGTCTGGAACAAACTCACCAAGCAATGTCCAAGCATGAGTCTGTTTAAAAAAAGGCTCAAACTGATGTTTTTCAAGATGCACTGTGATGAGGAGGGGAGGTGAATGTTGCTGTGGGGTCCGAGGCGGGATGTGGCACTGATGAATGGGGGTTTTGGTCGCGGTACTCTGCCGATGTATAAACTTGTCATGTGGATTTTGGCCTGATGTGTTTGTGTAGTGGAGTGAATATATTCATTTACATCTATGTATGGAGATTTATATTTGAAAAAAAAAAAAACTGTTTTCTCACCCCTCGTGGGGTGGTATGTGTCATCCTCAAGCTCGGGTCCTCTACCAGAGGCCTGGGAGTTTGAGGGTTCTGAAATATATATATATATATATATATATATATATATATATATATATATATATATATATATATATATATATATATATATATATATATATATATATATATATATATATATATATATATATATATATGTGTGTGTGTGTGTGTGTGTGTGTGTGTGTGTGTGTGTGACTTTTTTTTTTAACAGTCTCTTGTCTGGCAATGTGGCAATAGGAATAATTGTCTTGATGCCAAAAAGAGAACTCAAAAGATTTTACTTTCACAAGTGGAGCAGTATGGATATCGCCATGGTGTTCCGCTTGATTAATGCATGTAAATAGCTATAATTCATGCAGGGAGTATTTCAGATTATATGGATGTTGCAAAGGGATA